AGAGAGAGAGAGAGACTGCATGCACACATGAACAGGCACTGATGCTCAGATCATGACGTCCAGACAGGAAGAGAGCAAACTTCATGGGATAATATCATACAATGAATTCATGGGAAAGCAAACCAAACCAAAAACCCCCAAATTTGATCAAGAATATAACCGAGGAGAAAACAAGACCCAATCTTTTTTCAAGGAGGAGAAAGCAATTATCCACCATGAATCCATTAAAGAGTCAAGTAAACAGCAACTTCAAACACTTCTGGTGAAACTAAGTTCCCTAACTTTAAACCCTTAGGGGGAAATAATACTAATAATTATCTCATAACAACAGACAGAATAAAGAAAGAACAACCATATAATTATCTAAGAAAAGCAAACAGGAACCCAATGAAAAGAAAAAGGGAAAAGACCCAACGACATATAATAGAGAAAAAACATGAAATTAGGGCAAATTACCTCCTCTGTCAGCCAAAACAATAGTTGGAAGCCCACCAGGCTTGGATTTGAAAGAGATTTCGACCTCTTTATACTCTCGACAAGCCTTCTGGTTCGATTTCGGGTATGTAACAGTTCCAACCATAGTTCCACCATACTGGGGCACCCCAAAATTGCCTATAGCACACTCATAAGTATCCTTCAAAGAATCAGGGGATGTTACCCTTAAACTGTTCTTCTCCACCACAAATCTTCCATATACAGGAACCCAAATCAAAGAAGCCCATACCAGAAGACACAAAAGATTCCTCATATTTCCTATAAGAAGCAATGAAACTCTTGATCAGAGCCTGAAAAGGGGTCTGAGACTTCAACTTTTTCTTTCCTAGGGTTCTTCTATGGCATCAAAAAGGCGATTTTCAGCTGAATTGAATGATCACTGAATTTATTATCAGAAAACAAAGCTTTTCCTAAGGCTAAAAGCCTAACTTTTATTAAGGGTTTTTCTGCTGATTGGAGTCTCAAAGACTGATCTAATAATCAGGAATCCAAAGGGCCCAAAAACTGACCTTTTCTAAGAATAAAACCAGCTTTTTTTTAGGTTTATTCAGCAAAATTTCAAGGTTCAGAGACTGGTTCCAGAATGAAGGGATCAAGTAGGGAAAATCCCAAGTTTTATTGGGGTTTTGATAAAAAAATTCAAGGTTCAAAAATTTGCGACCAATTGATCAAGCAAAACACCATTCAAGAAATTCTCAGACTGAAACGAAAAAATCAAGCATCAATTCCACAAAAAACCCAACTTTTCTACAAGGTTTCCTCAGAATTGAAGGTCCCTATATTGATCTAAAGACAATGAATCAATTTGGCCCAAAACCCCACCTTTTTCTCTAGTCAAGAGCCCAACTTTTTCCTAGGGCTTTCAGCACAATTGGGTCGCAAAGACTTTTATATATCAAACAAGGATAAGACCTAAAACCCAACTTTTTTATTGCAGAAGACCAACTCTCTCTAGGATTTCTAATCAGAATTCAGCTCGATGATTGACCTAAGTTGGGAGACTCACAAAGCTTTTCTATGGGTTTCCTGCTGAATTGGAGGTTTTCCAATATCAAATCCGCAGATTTCAAGGGAGTTTTAATGGAGCTTGGCACAATCTACAAGAAAGGAATTAATTTTCAGATCTAATCCAAAAGCTTTTAAGATTAGAGCTTTTTTTTAGCCAAAACCGACATAAATGGCCTACATACGTACCAGATAAGGATATTTTCGGAACAAAAAATAGTTAAACGGGTTGCTATCAGAGACCTTACGAGGCATTGGAAACGTGGGGAACACAAAGACTGGGCAAGATGTCCATAACTATTACTTGAATGACCAAAATCTAACTGATATTTAGAATGATTCAATATGACCTCGTAAACTTACGAATGGCAAATGAGTCCGTTCTCTGGAGGCTAGCTTAGAATTGGGAAAAGTTCATATAGAGCTTACGCTATAAACAATCAAATTAGAGCCTACGTCAATAATTTTATTAAAAGAGGTTGTTTTGATGTTTAAATATCTTCAAATTGATTATTCGACATGAAATTAGAGCCTACTTCAATAATTTTACTAAAAGAGGTTGTTTTGATGTTTAAATATCTTCAAATAGATTATTCGACATCAAGATTCATGAGCATGAGAAAAAAAATGGATTTCAAGTTTTGAAAATAGTGCATGTTGTAATGAATTTTAGGATGATCAATTTTCAAAATTTTTAAGTTTTCATAGATCTGCTAGAGCGATACTATTTTGAAACATTAAATTTTATAATTAAAGATAAAAATATATTTTAAAGCTATCGCAAATACTTCTAATACTGAAATCACATTTTTCGATACTATTTGAAGGTGGGCTCTAATTTGATTGTTTAAAGCCTTGGCTCCATTCGAACCGCACCCGTAGAGTTTCTTGATATTTTCAACAAGAAAAAAGGTTTGATTGGGCTGCAGCCCTATCAAAATAAGTAAAGCTTCACTTTATAACTCCACAAGAATTGCAATTCAAGTATAGAAAAACTATTACATCAATTATGTTGGCTTGAACATTATGGTTGTGGAAAAAAAATAGAATTTTAAGCTCTAAAAATAGTGTATATTGTAATAAATTATCTAGACCGATCATTTCACCCTAAAAACAGGTATTCATAGACCTGCAAGATCTTTACCATTTTTTTAAGTTTCAAATTTTGTTGCTGGTGTTGGAAATTGATTTTAGATGCATCATGGAAATTTTCAATGTTGTATTTTTCGGACAAAGATTTGAGGTGAAGCTTTATTTTGTTCTTATGAAGTTTATACTTTATATAAACCTCATCCTTTCAACAAAAAAGATCTTGCAGAAATTCTTGATGACTTTTTTTGTTTTTTTTTTTTTTTTTTTTGGAGGTTCTAACTCCCATTTGTGTGCATAGAGAAAACAAGTAGTTTTTTAGTTTGTGAAGACTAGTGGAGTTGAACGATAGTTGAATATAAAATAATTCAATTCTAAGAGAAATTAAAAATAGAAAAAGTTTAGATTTCATTGGTTCTCTAGATAATAGTTTCCTTCTTACTGTATTCCCTTTTCTCTTTATGGTAGTTAATTATCATGGAAAATTATCAAAATATATCTGACTTATCAATTGCTTAAGATTTTACCCATTTTCAATTGCTGCATATGTATTCAGATATCATGGAAATTTATCTAAATATATTTAATTTATTGATTGTTTAACATTTTACCATTTTCAATTGCCACATATGTATTCAGATGACTTTTAAAACTAAATAAGAATGGTTGCATAAGGTCACAACTTTAAATAATCAAATTAAGGCGTACCTCCAAATTTTATCATAAGATATAATTTTAGTATAAAAAACTAGTAAATTATTGAAAAAAGAGTTAAGAATACGGATACGGTTTCTATGCGGTCAGCCCGCATACTGTAGAAATGTGGGCTTGGCAATAAATATATTTTTTAAATATAATTTGATTCAAATTTTTAGAGAATATATAATCTTTAACATGGAGATCATGAATATGAAAAGAAAAAAAAATAAAAAAAAATACAAGAAATAATAATTACATTAAAAAACCATTTGGACCATTAGTTACACTTGTTTTTGGATAGACCACCAATGTGCATGCATCTTAAAGATGGATGCTTTATACCTCTGAGCCGTATATTGTAGAAATGCGGTCCAGCCCGCATGAAACAATTTTCCAAAGAATGCATGTATCCCTTGACCGCCAAACGTGCATCTTAAAGATGGATGTAAAAAGAGAAGGTAGTCTACCATATTCGAAAACAGAGGGTGCAAAAAAAAAATATTTTAAATACTAAAAATCTTATTTTCAAATATTTATGATTACAATGGTCTAGTCTAGGTCTCAAAAAAATTAGATCTAAAATCCATCTTTAGAATAGAATTTAGAGATGGACATAAAAATGAAACCCACAACCCAATATTAAATAGTTTAGATACATTTTGGTAGATTTCCCTCGTGACTCGCCTCTTCTCTCTTTTCTTACCTTTTATTTCTGGATATATTTAATGTTTTGTTTAAATTTATCCAAATCCAGCAAACGTGCACCTATTTCTGAGCTTTTACAGGTATCTGTTTGTTTATTTCTTGGATACCTAGTAGAGAGAGAGAGAGTGGATAAATCATAGAGAGAGGCAACGTGAGGACACTAATATAGTTATTAGCCAAATTAGGGCTACAACACAAAACCCTTTTTTTTTGGGGTGACGTTTGTATAAGGTGCCCACCTTATACTGTACAGGTAAGGCGCACCTCTAAATTTTGTCAGAATATTTAGTTCTCATGTAGGAAATTTTATGATTGTTTGAAAATCAATGTTCAGTTCCAATTATGAAATTTAAAATTTCAAAAACAGTGTAGATTGAGTGGGTCTATAAACAGCTCAAAAACTTGTTACAAGACGCACTATTTTTTAGATTTGAATTTTTTTTCTTTACATCCATAGATCTGAAGATGAAGAATATAAATTGGTCCAATTATTTATCAGGATTGGACGCTACCCATACCACTGAGAAGTTAAGATTGGTCCAATTATTTATTACACCAGTTGAACTAAAATTTAAGGTAACAAGAACAAGAACAAGAACAACAATAGTTTAAAAATGTGAAGTATATTACGATAAAAGTAATTCGCCTTTGTTTTGACCGATCAAATCTATTAAAACCGGATGATGCAATAGCCCGAAGGTAATCAAACATTGTTTAACCAACCAAGACTGGTCCAACACTGATTTTAATTGATTTTTAAATAAATAAGTTATTAGTTAGACCATACTAACTAAGGCACCGATCAAATGCCAGTCTGATATTGTCTAGACAAGTATAGTTCAAACCCAAAATTGCGACCAGCATGTGCTGCTGTAAATTAAACAAATTTGAAAATGTAAAAGGCAAACAGCAAATCCCAGGGCGACTCCAAGCTAACATTTTTGCTTATTTGACCGGATCCTTCATATGGAATGAACAACCATAGTGGAGGTCCACTCAATCTAAAGGAAATTTCCCAAAAAGCTAACCATAGGTTCCTATTTATCAGAACAATCTTCACTGAATCCATCTATCCTTGGCTCAAAAACACACTTTCTGAAGAACTCTTCTTTCTTCTTGGGATCTAACATCAATTGCTACTATTCATGATTCATGATCTAACATCAATTGTTACTATTCATGATTCATCGCCAGAGATGGCTTAACACCAATAGTTCTCACAAATCCATTTTAACTTATGGTCGGGGTTTCTATGAGTCAGCTTATTCCTTCATTTACATGTGTTCCCCTCTGAAATTCATCTTGAATATGGATTTTGAATCTAAATATGGATTATAGTGATCATGAATATGAGAAAAATAAATATATATAAAACAAAAAAAGAATATAAAAGTGTTTTTCTAGATTGTTTGCCACCTATTTATCTTAGATTATAGTCGACTGCCCTTTTCAAACGTCCATCGGTAAGATGGATGTTTGATGTCAAGAGAATTTCATGCATCCCTTGACTCATACAATGCTTTACCTTAGCTTATAGACACATAGAAGAGCACGGTTTGTATACAGATAGAATTTTAAACAATCGAAGGGTGCACCTCCAAATCATGTCGAAAAATAAATTTTCGTTGCTTGAAACCTCTCTAATGGCCCCAATATCTACATTCAGGCAGTCTTATGAAATTTAAAGTTAAAAAATGGTGTAAATCCAACAGATCTATGAACACTTAAAGTTATGCATTACAACATGCGCCATTTATGGGAATTGAAATCATTTTTTTCATAATTTGTAAATCTTGAGCCCAAATGCTCAATTAAAAAGTTTTCCAACATCTTTCTAACCTTTTTGTAGTGGGTTTTTGAGATGTATAGATGTACCTAGAGAGGGTGAGAGAGGAGGCTCCATGTATTTATTACATGAAAAATTTATTGAGAGTCCTAGTCCACTTAGTATTTTTATGGATTATCTATTTTAAACACATTAAATCAGATTTTACATCGGCAAGGGAATAAGATGAATGGTGAAAACTACAAAATTTACAAATTTTAAATTTAAAATTTTAATTATTTTTCGAGTTTCATGGTCAAGATTATAGACCCCTTTGAAATTTTAGATCCAAAATTCATCTCAGATGTGAGAATTTTGGATAGGGTCATATGCAAACAAAGTGTGCCTGAGGACACACCAAGACCTCAGCATTTACTATGTGCAATGGCCACTTGGCTACCATGCCTAATATAGGTAGCAATTGGCGATAATGCCATTTTTCTTCTTAATTTAATGATAACTTGGATATGGTCATAAATGCATTCGAATGATTGATATCCATCAAGTTTTTAGAGTAAAAGATGGAATCTTTTGCAACTTATTAAACCATAAACTCTCCCATAGACTAAAAGTCTCTCTCTATCATCGTGACCGCCACTATTTGCCGTAGGGGTGGCAACGGGTCCGCGGTCGGGACCCGAACCCAGACCCGAAAAAAAGTATCGGACCCGGATCCATACCAAGGACCCGATGGGTAGACCCGACCCCAGGTCCAAGTATGGGTTCAATTTTTGGATCCGAATACTATTCAGGTCCGGTTCTAAGTCCAGTTGTACCCGACATGTACTCATAAACAGTAAGAGATAAAATATTTTATTTTA